AGACGTTGGTTTACAGTTTCAAAATCTGAAACTGCAGGCAAGTTCTGTTCTTCTCTTTCCTCTGTAATTTGTGTTATGTGCATGCCTAGGTAGTCTCCAGGGATTTAATAAGGTTTAAAATGGATTAAATAGGTGTTGTAACACGTCTTTTATGCATGAGCATACAGTATTTAATTTCATTGTAATAATTGGGTTTGAGTTTGCTTAAAGTTACTAGTTGAATTTCTGCTGCCGTTATGTTTAAAAGATTCTGTTAAATCCATGTTGTGGATGTATAACCATGGTTTAGGATTTTGTCTGGGTCTAAGATTTAATCCTAGAACCAGTATTAAAACAGGGTTGGAGTTTACAGAATTAATCTGTTTTGAAATTGGTTAAATTTTCTAACTGAAAATTCTGTTGTCGTAGTTTTCAAACGGTGTGTTCAATTCATGTCGTGGTTTTATACCATGGATTTAGGGTTAATCTAGAACATTTAATGGAACCCTAGAACATGTATTAAATTATTTACAGAGGCTTGGGTATCACCGGATGCGAGGAAGATGAAGTGGAAAAACGCAGAACGTGCCGGAAAGAAAGAGAGCAGGCTCTCAAAATGATAGAGCCAGCTCCCTTACACAAAGAGCCGGCTCCAAGGAGCATGGAGCTGGCTCCATGCTGAAAAGAGCAGGCTCCCTAAGTTAGGGAGCCGGCTCCAACATTTAAAAGAGCAGGCTCAAATTTTATGGAGTCTGCTCTCACCCAAATGCACACATATTGGACTTTGGGCACTGTATGGACTGTTCAGATGATTACCACTTCGTATAATTTGTTTAATTGATGTCTTGGGATTATAATAGGCTTAATATATTATGGGAAACATTAATCCATGATTAAGCATAAGAATGGAGCAAAATAAATCTAAGGAAAGCGGTAGATTGCAAACTGAATTTCTATTGTCGTTGGTTTCAAATATTGTGTTCAATACATGTTATGGTTCAATGTTAGAGGTTTATGATATATCTAGGATTAAGATTGAACCTAAAACAAGGATTAAAAACATCACAGAGGGTGTAGGAAAACACCGGAGTTGAAGAAGATGAAGCCGGAACGAACAACGGCATGCAAGGGAGCAAGAGCGGGCTCTAAAAATCGAAAGAGCCAGCTCTAATATTCTTAGAGTAGGCTCTTGGTTGTTTCAAGTAGGCTCTTAGATCCATAGAGCCAGCTCAATCCATAAAAGAGCAGGCTCAATTTTTCTAGAGCCTGCTCTTGCCCAGAAATCTCAAACAGTATGATTTTTATGCGTTAATTGGATTGTACAGTGCATTAGGACTTCGTCTAACTTATTTTAAGTGTTGTATGCGCTGTTATAAACCTATAATAACATGGGAAAATAATAACTCAAAAATGGATTAAAGGATGGACTATATAAGTAAATAAGACTTAGGGGTTGCACACGGTTAGACAAGTTTTATTGGCACTGAAACGTAACAAGGATTGTGTATATGATTTAATTATAAAAATATATCATATTTCCATAGTATTATAAATATAGTGAATTAACTAAAAATTCCCTATGCTTACCTTGGGTTTAATTGATACTCAAATTTCTATTAACAGTATCAATTCGTGAACTATATTGGAAGATTTGCTAGGTTTATATACCTAAGCTTGGCAAGGTTGTTGTGTATGATTTAAATATATATATAAATCATAATTCTATAGTATTTGAAGTATAGGAAATTAACTGAATTTTCCTATCCTTACCTTGGGTGTAGTGGATACTTAAATTTCTATTAACTGTATCAATTCTTGGACTATGATGGAGAATGTGAATGCTTAAATTTATTGTAGCACTTTACATAATTGGAATTGGATTTTAGGCCGTACTGAATGCCTATTATTTATGTCTATGCATTAAATTTATCTTGTGCATATTGTGGAATGTAGTTGATGACTATTTAATAATGGTATGGTCAACTGTGTTAACTGGAGGATTGTATATACCGGTATGGGACGATGACATACTAGGTATGGACTAGTTAAAACACTAATCCTACCTAATTTGAAATGAGTTGGATTAACCATAAAAAAGTTAAGTCCTACTTATATGGATATATATATATGAAACGGTATGGGACGGTGTCATATTAGGGATAGCTTAGTTCAAAATACTAAGACCTACCTATATTGGGAATGGATTAGTTCAAAATACTAAGTCCTACCTAAATTGGATTAAGGTATGGATTAACCATAAAGGTTAAGTCCATCACCTACATGTGTCATATCAATTGTGAATTGAAAGACTTACTACTGTTTCAGGATGGAGTGTTTACATATATCAGACCACTACATAGATGACTGATATTTTGTATAGGGAGTACGGACTTTATATATTTATTTTATGTGCCATGGTATGAGCCTGAGTCTCAGAACCATGGTTAGGGTGCGTATATCGCCTAGGATGGATAACTGGACATAGGTGTTGTTCCCTGGTAAGTCTAGGTACTCATGCCCACCTTAGGGTGCGTATTTGTATGTTGCCTTCTATTCAGGCTGAGACAGACCTACTGGACTAGTGAGCGTCCTATAGTGTGTACTATGTACATATATGGACTACTCTAGATATTGTTGAGTCTTCCTAAGATGTATCTGCGTATCGGATTACTATTTGGATTGTAGTAGATTAGGACTTGCATGTGGGCCTGACCCACTCTTTTATTTTTCAGGTGTTCGTCAGTTCCAAGGTTAAAGCTTGGACGTGCAGAGCAGATACAGATATCCATTCCTCCGACTACGTAGGAATCTTTTCTGTATTAGCTTTAGACTTTATTTCAGTCATTTCAGTTTTGGATTGAGAATATTAATAAGGGGTCCACTGGATGGATTCTCGAGTTGTAAACTTATGGAGTTTTGGATTATTAGATTTGAATAATTTTATTTCAAGGTTTATTAATTTAGTTTCTTTCAGCTATTTAATTTTATTTCTTATTTCACTTTGTATTCCGTGTTCAATTTAAAATACTTTAATTGTTTGATATCCCTCGGGTTTGGGCTCGGACCTGATCAACCCGCGTCTCGGATCCGAGGGGTGTCACACATACCATATCATTTACCAATAAAATTTAGAGTTGTCCAACAGCTATACCATAAGTCAATTGTCCAAAAGCTATACCATATATCTGTCTATTCTTTTTGCACAACTGAGTTACCCACAAAGTAGTTAAACAACAAAAGTTTCATAAATTGTCCACAAAAAAAATATAGTTAACTATATTATGGCTACATCTTCAACTGCCTTCTTCTCCATCTTCAAGTGTCCCTTCCAGATTGGCTGCTTCTTCCAGTACCTCTTCGAACTGCAAATTTGACTGCATTGGGTCTTCCTGGTTGATTTGATGTTGCAGAGCCTTGTCCAGGTTGGTTGGTGCTTGCAATGCCTTTTCCTGGTTGATTTGACCTTGAGCTTGCATACCTTCTTCAAGCTTGGTTGGTGTTTCTTGATTGATTTGAGGTTGCACACCCTCTTCCAACTTGGTTGGTGCTTGCAGTGGCTTTTCTACCTACATTCTTCATTGAGCTTTGACACCCAAATTGAGTAGCTGATGTAGGCCTCATCATTTGTGATTACAATTAAAATAAACTCAGTTTATTTAAGAAAAATAGAAATAAAGTTAAACCTCTTTTTTTAAAAAAAAAAAAGTTTTACCTCTTCTGTTAAACTGGTAAAACTTGAACTTCCACTTCCAACTTGACTACTTCTTGGTGTACTTGTATGTCCCTGCAAGTTCTTATATAGTGTCAAATAATATCACAAGTTAAAGGGCATTAACTTTTGTGTTAATATTAAAAAATTTATAAGTGATTTACCTGGTTGGGTTGACCTACTTTGCATGTTCTTTTGTCGTGCCCAAATTCTTTACACTGAGAGCATTGTAGGGATTTGCTCTTTCTAGCATCACTAGTTGCAGCTGCAGGCTCATCTGCATCTCTAGTCCTAGCTTTTTTTGGTCTGCCAGGCTTTTTCCTTGGAACTGGAGGTTCCACAGGGTTACAATGCACATGAGTCAACATTCTTTGATCAGGTACTGGGTGAATCATACTAGAATGAGTTCTCATGTATGTTTCATTATAAAAACATGGATCACAGTACTGTTCAATATCTGTTCTTTTGTGTGTTATGGCTGCAGTTGCATGTTTGCATGGGAGGCCAGAAATCTGCCATCCTCTACAATCACATGACCTTGATCTAAGCTTCACTATATGTTTTCCTTCCTCATTTATGACTTTATACTCATCTTGCCTTACTGGGGTAATATTACATGATCTAGACTCATCAATCAACTTATTCAATTTTTTCCTAATGCTTGGGGTCACCAATACTACCCAAGTACTGGCCTTTTCAGCCCTCATTAGGAGTCTGCTCATCAATTTGCTCCTAATACCATCAAGCAGCCCTAAAATATGTTTAGACCTAAGCTTCCCAACCCAATTATTGAATAACTCACTAAAATTATTTGTGACATGGTCACTCTTCACCTGGTCAGAAAATGCATGCCTTGACCACTTGCACACATCTATTCTTAATACCCAATTATAAGCCTCTCTTGAAACCTCCCTCATTTGCCTCATTGCCTCATTAAATGTGTAATCATTATAGGCTCTAACTGCCTTCCAGAAAAAAGACTGCAAAAGCACTCCTGGATACTTCTTTTTGAAGTTGTTATATAGATGTCTGCAACATAGCCTATGGGTTACATGTGGGAAAACAATCATCATTGCTTGTTCAAGACCCTAAGCACAAGTAAAGCATAAATTAGATATATAAATTTCATGTAATTTATTAGATATAGAAATTACATGTAATAAATGAAGTTTTTACCTTTTGCTGATCTGACATAAAGCATATATGCCTATCTTGACCAAGTTCAACAAATGTTTGCAACTCTTGAAGGAAGAATTTCCAGCTGTCTTTCCCTTCATCCTCCACCACAGCCACAGCCAGTGGAAAAAATCCATTATTCCTCAAGGACTATAGCAGACAAGAGCACACCACCATAAGGGGTCTTTAGGTAACAACCATCCAATCCAATGAACCCCCTCCAACCATTCTTGAATCCAGATTGCATAGCTTTTAAAGACATAAAAATTCTTTTCAATGTCATAGTAGGCAAGTCCCTCTCAAGCTTCATGATACTACCAGGAATAGATTTGAAAATTTCATTAGCATACTTAGGAAGCAAAGTGTATGATTCCCCATGGTTTCCATCTAACTCATCCATAACTTTCCTTTTAGCTCTATATAGTTGCATGGGTCTTGCATCAACTTTGAATTGGCTCATCATTGTTGTATGCAATGCATCAAGTGGAACCCCTGGATTGTCTTTTATACTCTGCCCAAGCTTTTTAGCAATCCATGTGAATGTTGCATCCCTCACAGTGCCACTCCTCACACAATTGTGTGGACCTCTAATTGTCTTGACTTGATAAGTTACTCTATCTACAAAATGGGAAGCATGTACCCTCCATGGACACCCCTCAACTGCACATCTTACAGTGACTCTTTGCTTCTCATTTTTAACTCTTTTTATATTACATCCCTCTTGGACACAAAAATCAACCAAAATATCCCTAAAATGGTTCACATTGACAAATAGACGACCTTCTTCTAACTTAATACTTCCATCCACACCTCTCTTAAATGGAATTCCCTTTAAACAGCTTGCATAGCACCTACCCCTTGCTGTTTCAGTTTTCTGTTGTTTAACATTTATCTCACACTCTTCTTCTTCCACATACATGTTATTATCAGATTCAGTACCAGGTTCATCTCCTGATTCATAGTCTGACATACCATCTTCACTATGGTTCTTTTCTTCCTCCACATTCTTATTCACATCATCATTGTGAACTGGATTCTTACCCTTCCCATTATTTTCCCATTCCTCATCTTCAAAACTAAACCCAAATACATCATTATCATCTTCCAAATCATACTCATCCTCAGGCTGTCCTCCATTGTTCTCATTTACATTGGTCTCATTGTCTCTGACATTAGGGTCATTATTGTTATTGACATTACTATCATCATTGTCATTCACATTACTGTCATCAAAAGTCCTATCATCAAACTCCCTATCATCAAACTCCATGGTCTCAATTGAGGTAAATTCAGGACTTACATCAGTTACAACTTTATCAATATACAAGTCTATTAATCTCTTACCAGCATTTACTTTAAACATCTATAGCACATCTTTATCACTATCCACATTCATTCTACCAGAAGACCCAGGAACAAAATAAAACAAAAACAGAGACAAAGGGACAGTAGTTGGAATATGAGATAAAGCTACTGCTGTTACATCTTTAACGAGATCAATGATGCAATAAAAATCCGGATCCACACCAGTTATAAAAGTTAGGTTTCACTTGTAGTGAACAACAATATCATGAATTAATTCCATCAGTGTAACAATTAAAATTATAACAAAAATATAAATAATAAACACAAATTCACTAAATTTAACATAATCAATACAATGGAACAACTACTCCCAAATTACACATAATTTCAATTATAAAAGCCATATTTTCCTATATAGAGTTAACAATAAATAGAAAACAAAACCCTGAACAAATATATATAGAGTAATCAAAAATATATACCCTAAACTAAATACAGAATTATTCAAAAATACACACACCCAAAAAACAAAGTATAAATTTTAACATAACCTAAACTAAATAGAGAGTAATTAAAAACAGAAACCCTCAATATCGACTACAAAATTCTTTTCACATACCTCAGACCACTTCAGATTCACATATGCGCAAACCCTAACTCGTTCTTTGCAAATACGAACTTGGATTTGTTGCCAAAAATGGAAAGTGAACTCCTATATTGATGCGATCTCTAGTTAATCCTTTATATGCAACAACCCTTACCCTTTGTTCATTCGTTCTCTCTTTCTCTCTCTCTCTCTCTCTCTCAGAGTGTTCACAATACACGGCACCACTTTGGTAAGGCAGATGAAAAGACCTGCGTTGGGAAACGGACACAATTAATGCAAGTTTGGGAAACGGACACAATTAATGCAAGTTTTCCCTCCAAATGAATCAATAGTCGTGTAAATGAGAAGCTGATGTCATGGGGGGTAGTTTTGTCATTTTAAATGGCAAGGAGAGGGTATTTTAGTAATTTTGACAGCTCTGTTAGTCGATTTAACGGTCTGTCACAGATAAGGGAGGTTCATGTAGGATATTTTAAAAAGTAGGGGAGGTCCGAGTAATTTTCGGAACAGGAAGGGTGCCGCCTGTAATTATGGCAAACTATAGGAGAGGTCTGTGTAAATTACCCACTAAATAATCTACCTTTGATCACTCAACTAACTAATCCTAAGCATTGTTTCCATTACTAGTAGCCCTCCAATCCCTTGGGACGATCCCTACTCACTCTTGCTACGTTAGTAGTAGTGGTGGTAGTGGTTTTTATAAATTTAAACTTGACCCAAAATGCTTTTCTTGAACCGCGCATTCATTACATTATTTTGGCGTATAAGAACGGCCTAGACCCCGTCAATATATACTACACTAATCACATTCATTAATTGGTTTATTAAATTTCCAACCCTATCAAACAATTATTAAAAATAATAATCATACCTAGACTAATCCACCATTTCTTTTAAAGAAAAGTTCATTTGACTTTAACTCCATCCTAAACAGTTATTTAGCCATTTAAACAATAAATTATAATTAAAAGAAATAATTCTTTTAATCTAAAACTCAATAATGATTTATTTATTTAAATCACAAATCTAATACCTATGCTTTGACAAATTGATCATGTCTCCACCAATATTATTTTATTAATATATATAAAATAATACACTAACCTTTAAACACTAGATTATTCTAAAATATGAATATCTATTACCTCCAACTCATACATACAATAACCATATATGTAATTTTTAATCATATAAAACACATAACAATTTATTTGTGGTTTAGCAATAAACCATGTCATTACAAGTATATTTATTTATACATTGGCAATTCAAATATGCCTCTATAAGTGTGATACCACCCGGATTTCCGAATGCGGGTTGGCTAGGCCCACGCCCGATTACCCGAGGATATCAAACCAATCAGCAATAAACGAACACAGAATACAATTAAGAAAACAAGAATAAATAAAACTGCTGAAAAGAAATTAGAACGATAATCCAAATATTAAAACCTCAGAATAAAATTTTATAAATAAAAAAATATTCTGATACATCCAACTCTTTATTTCTAATACAACTTGGGAATCCATCTGGTGGACCCCTAATAAACTCCAACACCGAAAGCAACAACTGAAAAACTCCAATGCCAAATCCCGAAGAAACTCCTACGTAATCAGAAGAATGAGAAGGTGTCTCTACTCAGCACGAACAAGCTCTAAGACCTGGAACCGTCTGTTACCTGAAAAATAAGAGTGGGTCAGGCTCACGAACAAGTTCTATTCTAAATACAATCTAAACAGAGACCCGATACGCAGATACATCCAAGATGTCTCAACTATATCTATATAGTCCGTCATAGATAAATATATATCCACACTACAGGACTCTCATCATTATTGTGGGAGCACGCGGATACAACTGACACATAATTGTAGATAGCTGTTGAACGCGTTTACGCGTTTTAAAAAATGACAATATCAACAATAAACAAAAGAAGGTTCGTGGAAAGTTACAAGCAAATTCATCTTCTGTATACCTTTACAGTTGGAGGAAATGACTCAGATTTGAATATATGCAGAGTACTGTGCGTATGTAGCTATTACATTTCGTGTCTCTCTCTCTCTATATCCAAATCTCTAGCTCCAAGAGATTTGGTACACAATTAAGCAAGGTTCCTATGGTTGCTTCATCTTCTTCTTCACTGCCTCCTCCTCCTCTTGTGTCTCGGGAATTTGATGTGTTCTTGAGTTTTAGAGGTGAAGATACTCGCAAAACCTTTGTGGGCCATCTTTACAGGGTTTTGGATTAGAGAGGAATCAGGAACTTTAAGGACGATGAAAAGCTTGAGAGAGGAAAATCCATATCTCCGGAGCTCCGCAAAATTATTAAAGCATCAAGCATTGCGCTAATCGTTTTCTCCGAGAATTACACTAATTCATCATGGTGCTTGGACAAATTGGTGGAGATCCTTGAGTGCAGGAGGAATAAGGAACAGTTTTGCCCATCTTCTACCATGTCAAAGCATCCCAAGTTCGGCACCAGAAGAGGAGTTTTGAGGAAGCATTTATAGACTATGAAAATATTCATGAGAAGGAGTTGGAAAGGGTGCATAGATAGAGGGTTGCTTTGAAGGAAGGTGCAAGTATAAGCGGCTTAGATTTACAAGATGCAGTAAATGGGTATATTTAATTCCATTTATTGTTTGTGGTAAAACATAACAACTTATACATGTTCTGCTTCATCAGTTATTACTAGCTTAGTACTTCAATGTAGATATCATTATTAACATCCTAATACAATACAATTTCTTATCTTATCTTTAATTTATGGTGGCAAATTTCAATATCTATAATTAAACCTTTATGTATTTCTCTACCTACCCTCTCCCTCTTTGTTTTTTGTTGTCACTGTATTTATATTTTAATGTGTTTTATACTTGATAGGGATGAGGACAAGTTTATCCAACTAATTGTCCAAGAGATTTCAAGACAATTGCCGCCTACACCATTAAGTGTTGCTAAGTACGGAGTGGGTATTGATTCTCGAGCAAATAAAGTAATCATGTTGTTAAATGAAAGGTCAGCGGATAACCTCTTTGTCGGGATTTGTGAAACTGAAGGAATAAGTAAGACAACCGTTGCCAAAGCGGTTTTCAACCAAATGTCAAAAGAATTTGAAAGAAGTTGTTTTCTTGGAAATGTGAGGGAAGAATCAACCAAGCAAGATGGTCTAGCTAAACTACAACAAAAGCTTCTCAGAAAGACCCTAATGGATAATTATTTAGAGATATCAAATTCTGACCAAGGAATGAATGAGATAAAGGTTATACTTGAGCACAAAAAGATTCGTGTAGTTCTTAATGATGTAAATCATGAGAAGCAATTAGAGAGTTTAGCTGGAATAAGAGAGAATTGGTTCGGTTCGGGAAATAAGATAATCATAACAACTAGGGATGAAAGGTTGTTAAGGAAGTTCGATATTGAAACATACAAAGTTGAGATATTAGATGACAAAGAAGCACTTGAACTTTTCAATTGGCATGCATTCCAGCAGGACAATCCTGTAGAAATTTATCGAGAACTCTCATATCGTGTAAAATATTATACCAAAGGTCTTCCATTAGCTCTTCAAGTTTTGGGATCTCTTTTATGCAAAAGAAGCATTTCAAAGTGGAAAAATGAATTGGATAAATTGAAGAGCAACCCTCCCAAAGGTATTCAAGATGTTCTCAAGATAAGTTATGATTTTTACTCATTTACTCCAAACATGTCATCATCTTCAAGCTCAAGAAGCCATTGTTACCCATATTGGAGACTAGTGAAAGAATATTATTGTAAATGTGGAGTTAAAAGTCCTTTAAAAGTGTCATATACCCAACGAAATCCTGGTAGATGGTTTTACGGGTGCGCAAACTACAGGATTGGCTCATGTGGTTTTTTAAGGTGGGAGGATGATGAACTGCCTGATTATTATCGTAAATTGATTATACAGCATATGATAGGTCTATAATCAGCTGGGCAAGAGGGGTGGGGGATTTTTGGGATTACTGTTATATATATATTTTGTAATTGGCTAAATTTCGTAGCGTTAATGAAGAACAGAAGGCTATATTTCTCGATATCACATGTTTCTTCAAAGGATATCAAAAAGAATTTGAAGGGAGAATTTTTCAGAGTTGTGGATTTCACCCGGTCATTGGATTTAAAGTTCTCACTGACAGGTCCCTCATCACTATATCAAAATATAACGAGCTTTGGATGCATGATTTGATACAAGAAATGGGTCAAGAGATTGTTCGTCATGAATCTAAAGATCTTGGAAGGCGTAACAGGTTGTGGTCTTACGAGGACATTTATGACATATTCACTGAAAATATGGTACGTGTTGAAGGCATATTTGTTATTTTCTTTCCATGTGCAAGATATGCGGAAAAAAAACAAGAAAGTTTCGTGTATTGTAATGTCCAAGTACTCTTCTTTGAAGTTGTATGGTTAGAGTTAAGTTTTTATTTC